CTACATTCCATTAATTTTTGAGATGGAGGTAGCAGAGTGCAATTGCTTACAGCAGTCTTAGAACAAAGAAACTCTTGAGTTTTTAACACAGATTTGGCATTTACTGGTATAGCACTTTCATCCATTCTCTCATGAGTTTTTTACTTAGACCCTACTATGTTCCCACACTGTTTTACGCTAAGAATGTAGGTAGGCAAGCCCTTAAGGATTTTGTAATTATGATGGATGTTATAGCAAATAAACAGCCAAATACCACATGATAAGGGCAATTCTAGGGGACACAGGATGACGGGGGACCATGTAGAAAAGAAAGCTAACCCAGATGTAAGTGTACAGGGAAGGTTTCCCAAACTGTATGACATTTCAGCTGAGATACAAATGAAAAATAGGGGTTAAGGGGGAAGTATCTGTAAAGGGGAAGAGTATTCCAGGTAGAGGAAATGCCAACTACAAAGCTAGGAGGCGAGAAACAATATAGGTTGGGACCTGAAAAGAAAAAATCAGATCTAATGCACAACATGACTACAGTTAACGATACTGTATTGCATACTTGAAATTTTCTAAGACTGCAGATGTTGAGTGTTTTTACCATAAAAAAAAGAGTAATTATGTGAGGTGATGAGTATGTTCAGTAGCTTTATTGTACCGAATATTTCACAACACATATGTATATCGAATTATCAAGTTGTATACTTTAAACACATATAATCTTAAATTGTCAACAATGCATCAATAAAGCTTGGAGAAAAGACAACATACTGAGTGGGAAGATGGAGAAGCCAGAGAGTTAGACACAGAGAGTCAGTATCATGAAAAACCACAAAAACCATGGCAATGATATCTGAATTTACCCCAAGAGGAGCCACTGTCTTATTAGAAACTTTGATGTGGTTACCAGTGCGTAGAATGGAGTGGAGAGGTGTGCCATCAGATGAGAAGACACATTAGAGGTCACTGCAGTAGTTAGAGTAAGAATCAATGGTGATGTAAACTTCAGTAGAGACAGTAAGGACGCAAGGTAAGCAGCCAGATTAGTAATTTGTTTCAGAACTAGAATCAACAGCAACTGGTGATC